ACTTACTCAAGGTCTTACTTTTTCAAGAGAGGAAGCTGGAATTAATTCCTTGGTCCAAATGTTTATGCAGTGTTTACCATGTGCTAGCCCCTGGCTGAAGCTTCTGTACCTAGTAGGGGCTCAGGAAATATGGGAACCCAAAGTTCAAAGAAATTAGAATTACTTCTCAGGAGATGAAAGTGAGGCCCCCGATTCCAGCCAGGGACCAAGGACCAGGAGAATTGCCTGTGTCGTGCAGCTTATGTGTTTAGCTGGGACGCTGCTGCTGCTGCTGCTGTGTGCCTTAGTGCAGGCTTCTGGGTGGTCTGTCAGGCTTGCCTGGAGGCACCAACATCACAAGAACCCCTCAGCAGCTCTCCCACTTGCCCAAGCTAACGGCCCTGGTGTTCTAAGTCTACCCTTTTCCATACATTCTTTCCACCTTCCAGTGCCAAGATTTCAGTCGATGATTTAAGAGGAGGTTCCAGGCCATTTAGCTCAGTCAGAAATTTGGGTGAAAGTTTTTCTCCACCCATCCCAGGCCTCAGAGAACCCACTGGGGTGTGACAGCCTGCATGAAGCAGGGGGGAGAAACGCCTTGGGGATGTTCACGCACAGGATTGGAGCACAAGTTTCTGCAGCTGCCACATTTACCCACTCTATTCTGGCTGGACAAAATGTGTCAGTAATGGGTTGGTTGGAAAACTTAGGACAAAAAGCTGAAGAGGACGTAACTTGCCTCAACAGAGATGGCAAAGGCCAGTGGATGTCCCCTGCAGCATGGGTTATTTATCCATGTGAAGAAGACAAGCGCTGATGTCTGAAGCAGCAGGTGGATGAAGAGAAAGAGGAAGGTTAGATGGCCGGGTCTTTGCCAGGACTCAGCCTTTCCCAGCCTGATGCACTTCTCTTCACACTTGGGTGCCTCTCTCTGTAAATAAATCCAGGCCGCTCTTACAGTGCAGGATGTCCCACATACCGTACAGCTGAGGTGGGGTGAAATACAAATATGCCTTTTCATAATAGCTTTACACCTGGAGCAGCAGAGGACAGGTTTATTACCTTGGTAAACAAAAGTCAGAATTCAAGCAAAGTACAAACTTTGCCCAAGGCACTTCTGACAGTGCACCTTGTGTTTGTGAAGTGAACTCGATATGTATACGATGGGAAGCAATGGAAGGCTGGGCTTTTTCTTTCTTTCTTTCTTTCCTTCCTTCCTTCCTTCCTTCCTTCCTTCCTTCCTTCCTTTTCTTTCTTTCTTTCTTTCTTTCTTTCTTTCTTTCTTTCTTTCTTTCTTTCTTTCTTTCTTTCTTTCCTTTCTTTTCTCCCTCTCTCTCTCTCTCGCTCTGGCTCTTGTTTGATTTCCAAGGTTTAAAAGTTCGTGGGAGGGTGGGGGGCAGGTGAGGGCAGAGAGAGAATTTGCTTTGGCTCTGATTTTTTCAAGTGTTTTGAAATCATGCTGTTTGGTGTGAAAAAATATGTGAGCCAATTTATATTGTTTTCTAGAGAGAGAGAGTACTTTCCAGAGACAGCTTATTTCTTGCTGCTCTCAGGGTGATAATTAGGGTTCATGGGTGGGAGACAGGGTAAACCAGTTTGGGGAACACAGAAAGGAGTCAAGATTTGCATTGAACTTAAACACTAAAAAAATAATAAATATTTATTCAGTGCGTATTTTGTGCCAAGGGCAGAACCATGAACTTTCATAAACGTTATTTCATTTAGTCTTCACAACCACATGGAGTAGGAATTATTGGCCAACACGTCCATTTTACATGTGAGGAAACTAAGGTTATGGTTACTGAAGAGATTCAAGCCCCAGTTTTCCTTTTTTTCTCTAGTTTTATTGAGAAATAATTGACACACATCCCTGTGTAAGTTTAAGGTGTACAGCATGATGGTGTGCTTTATGCATATTGTGAAATGGTACTACAATAGGTTCAGCTAACATCCATCTTCTCATATAGCTACAATAAAAAGAAAAGAAAGAGAAAGGGAAAAAAATTCTCCTTGTGATGAGAACTGTTAGGATCTACTCTCTTAACAACTTTCCTGTATATCATACAGCAGTGTTAGCTGTGGTCATCATGTTGCAAATTACATCCCTAGTACTTATTTATCGGCACCATTTTCTAATTCCAAATTTAGGGTTTTGGGTACTGTCCTCCACCCTCCATACAGAGTCACAGACTATGCCCTATCCTGTCTCTTAGCTTGTCCGCCCTCATTCTCTGCCTGCACTTGAGGAGATGACTGATCTCCATTCTTGGATGCATTTCTGCTGAGAGGATTTCCAAACTCTTAAACAGACACCTGGCCAACTGGGCCACTCTCTCACCAACCAGCACCTCCATGTATTCAAGTACAAAGGATTTGAAACACGTGGATTAGATTTCCCCCTCAAAACACACATAAGCTTAAAAGCAAAGGGAGCAACGGGGAAGCGAGAACTCATCTCGTGTGTAGTTGGCTCCGCAATTACCTCTGTGCTCTCCCATCCCCAGCTTGAGTAAATCAGATAAGCTTCAGCAAAAGCATCTGAACTTTTTGGGTTCTTTTCCCAAATAAGCCTTTGAACCTGAAGAACTTTGCCCATCTCTGTTTGCGTATACTCTTCTCAAACGTTCAGCAGGGCCTTGCCTGTTGTGTAGCTCAAACCAGTGAAATTTTAACTATTTCATCTACAGATTAATTCTCAAGCCATCTAAAATGAGAGTGATTCCATTAGGTTTATTTTTATTTTATTTTATTTTATTTTTTTGTGAAGGAAGATTGGCCCTAAGCTAACATCCGTTGCTAATCTTCCTGTTTTTGCTTGAGGAAGATTGTTGCTGAGCTAACATCTGTGCGAGTCTTCCTCTATTTCGTATGCGGGATGTCTCCACAGCATTGTTTGATGAGCAGTGTGTAAGTCTGTGCCTGGGATCCAAACCCATGAACCCCCGGCCGCCAAAGCAGAGCACGTGAACTGAACCACTAAGCTACCAGGCCGGCCCCCTTAGGCTTATTTTTTAAAGAAGTCTATATAAATGTATCAACTTGTGCCTGTCTTCACAATTGAAAGATTCCTTGCGGGAACATATTAAACTGAGGCTGGAGAGAGGTGATGTCATTAAGGCATTGTCAACTCAGCAGTTTCAGGGCACCAGAGCTGTGGCCGCCTGTGCTTAGCAGGATTTCAAAGGAAAGCCCAGGCTCCCTCGTCCAACTCCCCTTCCACCTCGGCCCCTGCCATGAAGGCATCCTTAATTGCAGCTCCTCGAGGTAGGCCTTTGGCTTTATTTATTGCAAGCTCTTAAAAAATTATTGGAACACATATTCTCGTTGCAAGAAAACAGATTTCAGTTGTAAATGGATTAAACACAAGCCCTGTACTGGAGCCCTTGAGGGAAAAGAAATGGGGATCTCTGGGCTGTGAGGATGCTTACTTTGAGGACTCTGCTCTGAAAACCCAGGCAAGCCAAATAGCGGAATATTATCCCTTAAGCGAACTTTAAAGCGCCTCTAACCCAACCCCTTTCTCTCACAGAGGAAGAAACAGCCTCAGAGTGGAAGAAGCCAGGCTGAGGCTTACATAGCCAGCCAGTGACAGGCCTCCCCGACTCCCGGGCCGGGGCTCATAGCTCTCCCTCTGCTGTCTTTCATACTGGGAAAAAGTGAAATTAAATAAAGACAAAAACCTGGTCCTAAATTCTAGCCTGGATCCACTTATCCTAGTTTCTCATCACTATTTGTCAATACATGTGCATAGAGTGAGTACATGGAAAGATGTTTACTCTGAGAAAGAAGAGAGATGGGAAGTCTGGAATACTTCCGAAACCTTGATTGGAAATCTTATCCAAGGTTAAGAGGTCTTACTGTGTCTTTACATGGTTATGATTATAGACCAGATAAGCAACGCTTAAAAAGAAATCCATATTCTTTTCCTACTTTCAATTTCATTCTCATTAGCTTTTTTGATTTTCATCTTTGTGACGTAAGTTGCTATGGGTCTCTGTCATTGGGAAATGCAGTTAATCAGCCTATGATTGGGTCCTAAATTGAAAGAACTGATAGAACCTTAGACTATTAGTGCTAAAAGGAAACTTAGTGATACTCTGGACCATATTCCTCAGTTTATAGATGAGTATAATGGAGCTGAGAGAGGGTAAGTGGCTTATCTGGGGTTACCTATCACACCAATGGACTACAACCGTTAATACTCCAAGCCATGTAGAAGGAGGGTCCTTCCAGCTGACAGTTATGAAACAACTCCCTTTTTGTAATACTCAGGTGTCATGCATAAATAATGAATTTACACATCAAATTCCAGGCAGCTGAATACTTGCCTGGGTCTGACTAATCCATAGGCATCTCCATGAGGTATGGATCATGAGTTGTCCTTGCCATTTTTTGTTTCGTGCAAACAAGGGAATTTTCTAAGATTATGTGATGAATCAATGAAGGCCCTGAGGTAACATGCTCTTACTGGATGAGGAATCAGAAGACATAAATTCCAGTCCTCACATTATCGTTAACCATGTGGGATCTCAAGCAACTGGCTTCCGTTTCTGAGTCTCAGTTTCCCCGTCCATGGAAGGGCTTTGCTGGATGACCTCTAAGAACTTTTCAGCTCTGATGGCCTGTGGGTCTGTAAAACAAGGCTCAGAGCTATTTTTTTCCTAGAACATGATGGTATGAAGCCAGAAATTGACTGCCACAATAACACACCAGCGTTTTCAAACTGTAAGGGATAAACAGGTTCTGCCTCCTAAATGGAATAAGAGTGTCCTTTAGCAATTTGTATGCAAAAAAATAATGTTTGGTTTTATTTTTTTATGACTTTTTTTCTCAAGCTCTTTGTGCCTGTTATCACTTGTCTGCCTGCAAGGACAGCATATAACTCAACCAATAAACTAATAACAAAAAAATAGCAATGGGAAATTCACAAAAATGATATCTTTATCATTTTTACTTTTTGAGGTATAGTGAAAATAAATAATATTTATTGAACACTTACCGCAGTTTATATACACCACATTGTTTAAGATGTTTAAACAATCATTGTTATCATGCCCCTCTTACAGAAGAAGTCACTGAGGCTCAGAGATGAAATAAAGTGCCTAGTACACACACACAACTGTTAGGCAGTAAAGCCCAGATAGGAAGCCAGCTTTCCTCACTCTAAAGTCCACATATTCCACAGTCCCAAGTTGCATACATAAAACCTAGCCATATTGTTTGTTAGCAAAATTGCTTTTCCATAAGAGAGAGGAGTCAAATATATCAACGTTTCATTGGGTTCCATGAAGAACAGCATCATGGCTTTGCTGGGCTGCAACATCTGACCATCTTTGAAAACACGCCAAGAATGTGAGGAATTAACTTGACTTTCCGCAATAATTCTGAAGAGAGGGGATACTTATGTCTCAACATGGTCCAATGAGAAATGTTTATTAATATATCCATATTAAAGACCAGGTGGCTGTTTCTTTGTATAGAATTCATGTTACTTCAAACATGCACCAGGCTTTTGTTCTGACGCCCTCCCTTATTATTCAATCCTGTAATCCTCCCGGGGAATAGGGCAAGACTACATTGGACTTGAAGAACCTGTTTCTGGTTCAGAGTCTCCCCAAAGAGGGAGTCTATAATTTCTCCTCAAAGTGGCCCGTACACCAGTCCCCAAATCTACGAAGTAACTGGGACCAGATCCCACACGTTCATTCATCCAACATTTATTGACGGCCTCAGATCCTTTCGGCATAGTGCAAGGCCCATGCTACCAAGACAAATACGATTGCCTTGACCTGGTCTTGGACACCTAACCCAGGCCAGGCCCAGACCCCAGGAACAGCCATGGGAGGCTGCATTGTGCTGTGCCCGCTTCCAGAATTTAGAGATAAAGTTGAGAGTTGTGGCAAAGCGCCCTGCATTTTCTGTTCCAGCTTTCACCAGAGTGAAAATTGCTCTGCCCATTTGGTCTCCCGGTAATTGCCAGAAAGAATGTTAAAGTTTGAAACGACTGTAGAGAGTTGGCTATCACTTCAGTTCAAAGCCCTCCTTTTAGGGATGAGGTTACTGAGGTTCAGAGGGTGGAAAGGTTGTCCAAAGTCTCCTATCGAGGGTGAGGCAAGGCTGGGATTAACACTCAGAGCTCTGGCTCCAGGCTCAACGCAGCTTTCACCGCTGTTGTCTAATTCCCTTGATAATGGGAAAGGCATAAGCCTGGAAGGAAAAGAAGTCAATCTTTGTTTAAAGAAAAATTATGACCCAATGGATAGATGGATCTGCACTTCCTCAAACTACAGTGGCTCATGGTTATGTTGGGCTGATTCTGTGGCCTTGTAACAAAGACACCTAATGCTGCAGCTGCTATGAACATCCTGAATACATCAGACTTTTCCATACTCCGCTCATTATGCCCTGGGTCTGGAATATCCTCCCCCTTTTTCGTCATGGCAAACACTTACTCTTTCAGACCCAATTCCATCACTTCCTTTGTGGAACTGTGGTGGATTGGTTCTGGGTCAAGTTAGGTAAGCTGGAACTGCATTTCCCAGACTCCTCTTCCATAGTAATGTGGTTCCATAGTAATGTTGGCCACAGGAGACATTTTGCACAGTATTTGGAACATAGAAGTGAAGCTACTATGTTTTAATATTTAGAAGGTCGGTGTGAGGCGCCGTGGGCTGCAATGTCTTACGCAGGTTATCCCTGATCTGCTGGCTCACCTGTTGGAGTCGGGCAGCAGCTGAGCCCTCAGCTCCTCCAGTTCCCACCAGATCTCCTCTTGCAGCTCCTCTGAATCCTGGATCAGCATGGAGAACTCTGTGGGGAAGCCAGCTTGTCTTGCCAATCGTTAACATCATCCCCTGGAGGAAGTGAGAGGCAGAAACGGGCTCCAGTTTGTCCTTGCAGGTTGCAGTCTATCCCTGCTTTCCCCACTTCGCGCCCGTTTCTCTTCCGCAACTGCCTGTCCTTCTGACTCTAAGTCCAGCACCAGACTCTGAAGCAACAGCCTCACATTGGCTGATGAGCCCATTCCTACAGCTAGGAGGAATGAGCCCCCATAACGAATCTCTGATTCTATATCATGTGTACTGGTTCTGCTTCTCTGATGGAACTCTAACTGATCAGGAGTCTTCTGTGAATCCCTCAGAATCAATCATTTCCTGGCTGTGCACTCCTATTAAAGTACGCAACACACCAAGCTGCCCTTTAATGATTGACAAGGCTCTCGCTCCCATTAACGCAGATAGCTGACAGGAATTGCGTGCTTACTTTGTGCCAGGCACTATTTTGAGCGCTCATTCAATCCCTACAACAACTTAGTGAGGTAAATGTTGTTATTATTATCTCCATTTTATAGATGAGCCAACCGGGACCAGAAAAGTTAAGTGATCTGCCCATGCATTCACAGCTAGGAAGGGGAAGACCCAGGATTCAAAACCAGGCATCCTGGTCCAGAGCCAGCACCCTGACCCTCCCTGCGGGGAGCTCTTCAAGGAGCAAGTTTCATCCATCACTACACCCTGACACTCAAATGAGTGAGTGAATGAATGATCCATCTACTTCATCTGGGGAGAAAATAACATTTCTACAAAGTTGACAGAGAGTTGATGAAAATGGAAGTTCTAGGGCCTAGGATACTATTGTACCAAATTTTGTACCTATTGTACCAGACTGGAAGGTAAGATTATAAATGGCCCATAGTAGTCAGAGTTTTGTTAGTGGACAAGAGAGCTGCTTACACACCAAGTGTGCATTGCCTGGAAGCCATCAGCATGCTCTCTGGGAGCAGTAAATACTGACAGGGCAGCGTGGCACCAGAGGAGCCTGCTCTTCTCCCCAGCCTGGGCAGACGCCCCACCCTGGGTGGAGCCCTCTCTGCCCTGTGACTGTCCCTGAGTGGAGGTCTGAGCCTGGCTGGAGGGAAGCATTCCTACCCAGGTGCCAGGCATACAATTAGTGTTTAACAGTTCGCTTTTTATATGTACCGATGAAATACGACCTCAAAACTATCTTTTTGTATGTAGTAAACATGGACTGGGACACATATTTAATTTGCAATGTGGTTGTCGATTTCTAGGTATCAAACTAGAATAAAGAGTCAAGTTTCGATTTCAGACTGAAGTATCTTGGGCAGTAGAGTCTGCTGCTCGATATGAAATTGGGCCTTCCCTACCCCCTACCCAGAAGGGAGACAGGGAAATTCATGGCCTCTACCCTGTGTTTGACACACCAAAAATGTTTTTAAAACAGAAGCAAAAAGTAGAAAAGGAATTAAAATATGTAGGAAAAAAATGTAAGTTAGAAATGTGGTTACTGCTTTGGTGGCCCAGGGTTTCGCCGGTTCGGGTCCTGGGCGCGGACATGGCATGGCTCATCAGGCCATGTTGAAGCGGCATCCTACATGCCACAACTAGAAGGACCCACAACTAAAATATACAACTATGTACTGGGGGGATTTGGGGAGAAAAGCAAAAAAAAAAAAAAAAAAAAAAACAAGAAGAAGAAAATTAACTTGTAATCACATCATGCAAAGGTAATATGATGGTGTTAATATCCTTCCAGTCTTTTCCCTATGGACATATATACACATTGTCCATAGCACTGTTGTAACCCACTATGATATATTGTGAATTTATTATCATGCCGCTATGCAACAAGTACATGCTTTCAAACAGCTTCTAGTGTGTGTGAGGCACAGTGAGACGCAATTGTGAGCAAAGCATGACCCAGTCCTCAGGGAGCTTACAGACCAAATTGGAAGAGAACGAAAGAACACAGGCTTTCTGAGCCCTGGTCTAGTGCCCTTTCTCCTGGTTTATTCTCATTACTAGGTAAATCTTGACATCCTAGCATTCTTTTATTTTTTTTACTTTTTTTTCACAATCTCAGTAGTTGTAAATCAGTTTTCTTAAACTTGTCTTCAGGTCACAGTGTCCTTTGATCCGTCAGTAATCCAGACTTTTAAATCATAGTGCCTTTTATGTTCAGGGAGCCCCTATATGACATGGCAGAGCACAGTTCCCGGAAGTTGTAGAAGCAAATCTTGCCTATAGCAGGTGCTGCCAGCAGTACGACAAGTAAAAATGATCCTGGCTTGGGGGAATACAGGCCCTTCTTGTTCCTGCAGCATCCCTCTGGCAAGGGAAGGACTCTTGCCACTTCACAGAGGATTTTGTGCTTCTTAACACCCACCATGAAGCACTGAGGCAGGATTTCAATCAGCCAACATTGGATCAGGGGCCATTTCAGGCAGGGAACACCATGAGCCAAAGCAAAAAGACTGGAAAATCCAAGGTGTTCACAAAGATCTGGGAGTAGTCATGTGTGGCCGCAGCAGAACTGAAGCATGGGTCTGACCCAGGCAGACTCCTGTGAGTTGGGTCAAGCTCTTCAGAAGGGGAAGCTGAGGCACAGAGACAGGGAGTGATGTGACTGAGGCCCAGCCTAGTAGACACAGAGCAGGGCCAGCATGAAGCCCGGCCTTGTGATCCCAGCACAGGGCTCTTTCTACTCTTCCTGACCTCCACTGAAGGCATGGCTGACATGGCTAAAGAACCTGAACAGATCAAAGGCAGCCCACTACTATCTGCTCTTCTCAAACGTGCACAGACACACACACACATACAACCTTTAAACACGCATGGGAGCACACTCACATAAAAACAGGTAATCCCAACCAAAATATTCCCAGGAATTCTGTAAGGGCTCCACCCCTGGAAGGATCTGCCTCGTCTTGTGGTCCTTTCACTCTTGCTGGAGGCTGATTCATACTTAACTATCATTTGGTCCAGACCACCCACAGCAAGAGACTATTTCTAGGCAAGCCAGAAACCCTTCCACTGGGAGTTTCCAGCTTTTCATCACACACACCCCAGAGGCATGCTGTCCCCAGGCAGGTGGGGTCAAGAGGCTCAGTGTGATGAGTCCTAGACAACAGACTCCCACTGAGCATCTCTGAAGAGCAAGATGCAGGGCTAGATTGTGAAGATTGGGATGATATAAAATTCCAGACAGCACTCTATATACACTAGAATGATATTATCACACTATATATGGATTGTGCTATATGATTCACAGGCATAGTCTCACCTGCGGGAGCCCTGCATGAAGGATGCATTATTAATTACATTTAGCAGACGAAGATATTGAGGTTCAAAGAAGCTTACTGGCTGGGTCTAGATTAGACAGTGAGTAGCACAGCTTGGACCTAAATTCCAGTTCTTTTGATTCCAAAACCTATGTCCCACACTCCCTCCAACATCGACATCAGTATGTTATGATTCTCATTTCTCACTGTGACCCAGGAGGTGAGTTTGGTGAGACTCACTATCTTCATTTGACTGGTGGGGAAACAGGCTCTAAGAAGCGAAGACAGCCACAGTCACCAGGGATCTTCTGGCTTCACGTCTGGTGCTCCTTCCTCTTCACCTGGTCCTTGCTGTGGAATAGCTCCCCAGAAAGCAGGAGATTGTGAGCACAGCAAGAGTGACCAAGATTCAGAGCAGATGGTGAGCTCCCTAAGAGGGCCATAGCCAATGTTTTGGATGCTTCTGGGGGAACCCCAGTCCCTGTCCAGCACGTGAGTTTAATGTATGTTTTGAGGTCATGTCTGCTTCCTCTTAGATGTTGTTGCCTGTGAACCTCCCTCTGGTCTAAGCCAGGAGGCCACTTTCTACTGACCAGGTATAGAGTCCTATCTTAGAATGTCCAACTGTGGTTCAACTGTGTGGTTTCTTTGAAGACAACTGTGAACAGAGCAAGGCAGGGAGGAAGTTGGCAAGGGAGAACAAATGCACCCACTGGCGTTGTCTACTGCCTGTTCTTGGAAAGGCTTGTAGAGCATTTGACACTGGCCCTAGCCTGTTGCTTTCACTTGTATAGAGTGGAGTCACATGTCACACTCCTCCTTTTATAGAGACACCAGTGGAAGGTAACAGTGGGAGATCAGATAGGAAACTATTGCAGAAACCCAAATGGGATATAATGAGGACTTAAAAGTGGCGTTAGGCTCAGGAAGTGGACACAGACTAAAGAAAGACTTAGAGGAAGAATCAGCCAGTATTAGGAATCAGATGGTGGAGAGAAGGAAAGTGATGGAGAGGAGCTTAGGATGACTTCTGGGTTGCTAACTTAGGCATCCAGGTGGGTGACCGTGCCAGGAATAGAGCCAAGGACCACAGAGGAAAGAGAAAGTTTGGGGAGAGTATGATGAGCTTAATTTTTTATTTGCTGAGGGTACATATCTGGAGAACATTCTCATGAAGGTGACAAGAAGGCAAAGCGCTCAGAAGAGAGGTCCTCTGACTCACTCTAAGTATTCATGGACCTTGCCTCATCACCACTACAGACCTAATAAGGTGGGATTTAGGAAGTGAGATTGGGAAAGAGTGGCTCTGTTTATGGAACTCATGGTGAACAAAAGAAGGATCCGGATCAGGAGCAAGTAGGCTTCCCAATTCCCTTACAGCCTATTATTTTGGTGGATTGTTTGGTAGACAGTACCAAGGTCACATTGGAAGTGTCATAATGGAATGACTTGAGCATCTCAAGTTAGAAGGCCTGAATTTGGCATTGTAAATTATTAGCTGTGTGATCTGGGGCAAAACACTTAGTTCTCCTGATCTTCCTTCCCTCTCTGTGAAATGGCTGTCTTATGAACATGCTGTGTAAATTATAACAGATTGTTCAGTAAATTGTCAGTTTAATATGTCATACCAATAAGCCACTAATTTTGTAACTGAAATTAAATGCTTACCAATTTGAGAAGCTAAAGCTTTAAGGAGGAAGTACTAACAGATTGGAAAAACCCTGTGAAATTTTCAGACCAAATTATAGGAAACCCTCAGAGCTCCAGTATCCTGTAGCAACGTCTTTAGGGAAAAGAAGATGCAAGAATGGAAGTCAGGGGTTGTCCCACCAGCCTCTTCACCCCGCCCCCAGATCAGCACCGGCAGTGGTGATGTCTGCATGTGATATAAAGCTGTATACTCTCGCGGTTGCTGTGTTTGCTGCTGTGGCACAGCTCTATGTCATTCCGTATATCCCTGGGTCTCATATAGGGTTTAGCTTGTCATCTTCTTTGGTACCAGCTGCTTAGTATCATTCAACAAGTAATCGCTTCAGCACCAACTCTTGAGGCTATAAAAGGGTTATGGAGCATGGACTTCAATTTAACAAAAAAACAATCTCCTTGGACTTTTTAGACGCTATGCTCAACAATCAAGATAGAACACTGAACCAAACAAGCCAGGCCTCTGCCCTCAGGAAGCTTTCACTCTACCAAATTTCAGAGCTGAAAGACTTCTTAGAGACTGTCTTGGTGAACATAATGGGAAAAGAAACATGGCATAACAAGTTAAAGCCAAAATTTGGAGTAATGATTCAGAATCGGTCACTTACAACCTATATCACCTTGGACAAGTTTATGTCGCTGCGAAATGAGAATGATGATAAACCTAAGAACCATTCTCCATATGGTATAGTGTGAAGAGAAAAACTAGGATTCACATTTTAGTTGGCAAAATACCGGACAAAGAGGAGTTTATTATCAGTGAGATATTTTATTTCCAAAAAGAAAAGGAAGGAAGAAATATACTCATTGCTGATGCATATTTTGATAACATAATAAATGCCTATTAAATTCTCTCCTAATTTTTCTATCCCCTCTTGTCTATTCACACTGGTATCCTGTTACCAAAGGATCAGTCAAGATGGTAATATTAATTTGTACAATATGAGCCAACATTCCTCCCAAAAAAGAGGGGATCTATTTTCTGTTGACACATATATTATAAAAACACTCCAAGAAAAATAAAAACACACATGCATTGGACTTGTTGCTCTCATTCTTGTTTTTATTAACAGAATACCTGAGTGGGTCCCCGCAGTCTGAGGCTTCATAAAGCTTCTGCAGTCCAGTCTCCAGCTGAGCCGAGAATTTTGACGTGAAAAGCCTGCAATGATCAAAGAGTGAAAGATGTGTGGAGATAATTAGTGGCTACGGAACAAACAATAACATTTGTGTTCACTCATATCTGAAGTCGGAAGGGAGTAAATTCTTCATGTGGACAAGGAAGAGTGGTTGCTTCATACAAAAATACTTTTTAAAATACACACATATCAATATATTTTCAATAATTTTCTTCCACGTATCTAAAAAATGAAATCCATGTTTTTCCAATAGATAACTATGCCTGGCTTAGAATATCATAAAGGAGAACATGGATTTCAGTAATCTTAGAGCCATACTACTAAAGTATAATTCTCAATCTTATGCTTACATCTCTGGTTTAGGATTTGAGAAAATGAAATCTATAGGTATTTTGTTAAAAGAAAAGGGCATCACAACTAGAGGCACTCACAACTGGAATATACAACTATGTACTGGGGGGATTTGGGGAGAAGAAGAAAAAAAGAAGATTGGCAACAGTTGTTAGCTCAGGTGCCAATCTTTAAAAAAAAAAAAAAGGCAAGTAGCTTTTCATGAGCACCCACTATGCATCAGGCACTCTGTGATACATTTCCTTCATACACTGTCTCATTGCCTCACTGATCCTCGGCACCATGCTCTCTCCTGTCTAGACCTTTGGACGAGGGAATCCAAATGCTCAGAACACTTCCTGGATCCTTCTGCTCCCTCAACAGCATCTGCCCCTTGTCAGTCCACTCCTCACCTGGATAACTCTTCTTCTTCAAGATTCAGCCTGGGCCCAAATCCAATATCCAGAATCTCCTCTGTCATGCGTTATCAGAGGGTAACTTTAGACTGAAATCTGTTTTCCTCATTAAAGGGTGAGTTGCACGAGAACAAAGGACGTGTCTCTTTTCATTGTGATGAGCCCAGTGCATATGTGCATTCTTAGCACACAGAATCCCTCCCATGATGTTGGTTGAAGGAACAAGTGAATGAGTTATTGAGTGAGCTAAGTAATATTACACCCCAATCTTCAGATAAGAAGAATGAGACAGAGAGAGGTGGCAAGTGATTACACCATAGTAGATGTGTTTGATCTAGTAGGTCTAGGATTTGAACCAAATAGTTTGACTTGTTCTCTCAGTTCCTACCAGTAAGAACGGGAGAATCCTGAAGTCCTGCTGCCAGTCCTCTCTCTCCTCACTTTGTTGATCTATAGTAAGAAAGCATTACTGAAAAACAAAGGCCTCAAAGCATCTAAGGATGCTCTAGGGTCCAGGGGCTAGCAATTCACCTGGAGCGCAGGAGCACGCAGAACCCCTGCTGAGGACAGAGAACTGAGGTTGATGAAATTTCAGCACAGATTTTCTGAGTCTACTGTGTACTTCACCTGTGCTGTAAGCTGTGGAGGGTTTTATCTCACTAATGTGGAGATGGGCACCAGATACATCCTGGCCCTCAGGCTGCTTACAGGCTCTCCAAGATGACACGCACGTGGGTGAAATAGTCCAAATCAGAAGAGGCAGATAAGTGAAAGAGAAAGGCCCCTGGCCAGAGTCAGAAGGCCCGTCTCTGCCTTTCTCTACCCATGACCTTTGGAGAACCACTTACTTCCCTCTTAGAGTTGGAGTTTCCACACCTGCAAAATTTAGCAAATCGACGAGAATCAGGGCAGTCATCAGGCCAGATCTGACCCTCAGATTTGTTTTTGCCCTGCTCATACGTTTTGGGCTGAATGGTATCTCCTCAAAATTCATGTATTGAAGTCCTAACCCTTAGTATCTCAGAATGTGACCCTATTTGAAGAAGAGGTCTTTACAGAGAGAATCAAGTTAAAATGAGGTCATTAGGGTGGGCTCTAATCCGATAGGACTGGTGTCCTCATTAAACAGATGTGCATCCAGAGAGAATGCCATGTGAACTTGGAGATGGCTGTCTCCAAGCCAAGGAGAGTGGCCTGGAGCAGATCCTTCCCTCAGCGCCCTCAGAAGGAAGTGATCCATCAACACCTTGACTTCAGACTTCCAGCCTCCAGAACTGTGAGAGAATCAATTCCTGGCTTAAACAAGCCACCCAGTCTATAATACTTTGTTATGGCAGCCCTAGCAAACTAATACACTGGGGGTTTTTATGTGTTTTGGTTTTTAATTTAAACGCTTTGGGGTTTTCTCCACATTCCTCACCATTCTCTGTTTTCTTCCACCCAGCTGTTGATCCATTTGCTCTGTCAGCTCCAGGAATTTAAGTCTGTCTTCCTGGATGAGACCATCCAAGGGCTCCTTGAGTGCTCAGATTTTGGGACTATCCCATGCAAGTCTTTAAAGACTAAGAAGGAAGGGTCGCATTCCACAAGAAGGTCTATTTCAGGACTTGGTAGACCAGACTGAACACACACACCCCAGCCAGTGGTGTGCTGGTAACTGTTTAATACTTAGCTCTTGACGGGGAGGGAGAGGGGAAGCCCTGATTTGTAGTATTTGCCAATTTCCCACCTTGGCCAATTTCAAGCTTTTGACATGAACTCATTGAAAGAGGAGATGGGAAGGGATGTGTGCCATGGGCTCTGGGAGCTGGTGGGAGTGACTCCAGCACACTCCTGCCACAGCCTTCCAGTGCTCTGCAGTCAGGCACAGAGTTCTCTGCACCTGATGTCTCAATGCCTGGGCTCTTTCAATCGCCTGAGCTGAACACCAGGAAACCAGGGTCCTAGTCCCACCTCTTCTCTTGACTCACTGAGTGAGTTAGCCTCTAGGCCTCAATGACCATTTCATTTCTAAAATGAAAAAGTTTAAACAAATTAGAGACTTATAGATTTGGTAGCTTGGCATCCACGCTGCTGAGAAGGGGAGGGGGTCAAGTAAGCTAGGCTCCCTAACCGCTCTTCCACCAAAGGTATTTTGCCTTTAAATACTTTATTAGTTGGGGATCTAGAGCAGGTTTGTTTAGGGGAAGGAAGGGAGGAGGTGCCACTGCTTAGGAAAAAAGGGGTGACTTCTGAGTTTCCTCTGGCTGAAATGCTTTGTGCTCCTCCACGATTCTAGGTCAGAACTCTCAGGCCCATCCACAGCTTCTAAGAAGGAAGCATGTAAGGGCATGGTTGAGGGAAGAGGAGCCAACAGCCACTTCCAAAGAAAGGAGGGAATGGGAGGGGGGACAGGCCAAAACCACTGGATGGGCCCCAGTGATGCTGACATCTCCTGAACATGTTTCTTCCAGAAGACTCCTCCAACAATTTCTGTGAAGGAAGGAATATCTTTACCCACCCTTGGATGGCATCCAGGTCTGGGGTGGAAGGTGGGAGCTGTTTAACAGCCCACGGTAACACTGCGCAGCAATTAGGGCAAGAAGTGAAGAAGACTGCATCACGCTGAAACTGCCAAGGTGGAATTGAGGTCAAGAGAAGGCAGTGCCTCCAAATTGAATTCAGCCCCCTGCCCCAACTGGACGTCCTCTACCGCTGACTGGGGCATCTCGGGGAACAGGGGGTGGATTTCTATCGAGGACAGGCCTTCCTAAAGCTGTGGCCTGTGTAGATCCTGGTGTGCAAGGACAGGGCAAGGGCAAGAGAATGCCAGCACAGAGGACACCATCCTCACTCTGCTTGGGGACCCTCTCTGGTGGCAATGTGGAGGATGGGTTGAGAAGGGATCACTACAGTGACTGTCTAGGTGACAGATCATACACTGTTGCCTCAGTCAGGAACAGTGACAAAGACAGGGTTCGTTCTCAGGGAACGAGGCATTTCACAGGGATTACACCTTCTTGCTCGGACCTCCCTTTTGCGGACACTTGGGCTTCTCCATTGTCCTTCTGGGTTGGCCTCTGGGCTTGGCAGTTCCTCCGACTGAGGGAAAGACAGCCTTTTCTTTTGCATTTCTTTCATGCCATGTTTATACTTGGGCACGAAACAGGACTGAGTAAACGTCCTCCCAGGAACCTCAGGCCGTGGAATGGGAGTCACGACTTCCACGCGGGCTTAATATTCACGTCAAGAAGCAGGACCCCTGAGAGAATTTGGATCTATTAAAAAAAAGTAGCACAGCATCTCTCTGCACACTGGGGCAGAAGAGTTTGTGGAGGCGCTGATGGGATTCTAGTGCAGTCGAGTTTAAGGGCTAGAAGGGGCCATAGCCATTGAACTTGGGTTGAGGAAGTTGTGTTGGCTCCACCTTTAAAGTACACATGCAGAATGTACTCACTTTTCACCCTGCAGCTGTCCCTCCCTGGATTGTTGCAATTGCCTCCTGCTTGGTTTTCCTGCGTCTACCCTTGCGCTCCTCAGCGTAGTCTCAGCTCAGAGGTCAGAATAATCCTTTCAAAGTGTGCATCGAGTCGTTCCACTCCTCTGCTGAAATCCCTGCCTTGGTGTCCCATTTCTCTCCAAGAGAATCCCAAGTCCTCAAAATAGCCTCCAGTGCCCTCCAGGATGGGCTCTGCAGAGCCTCTCTGACCTCACCTCCTTCTGCCCTCCCCAGCCCAGCTCCCTCACGCTGCCCCCGCCACGCCGGCCTCCTCATTGTTCTAGAGGCTGCTCCTGTCCAGGCCTCTGCCCTCCCGGCATACTCTTCCTCAGATGTCTGCTTGGTTAACTCCCTCCTGTCCTTCAAGTGTGCTCGAATCCCATCCTGGTAATTAGGCCCACCGTGAACATTGATATGGCAGCCTGCATGTCCCTCGCCATCACCCCAAACCTGGGACTTCTGCTCCCCCTTATGCTGTTCTACTTTTTCCCCCTAAATCTGAACACTTTCTGTATTAGGTTGTATTAACAGACGCGTTTCATATTTCTTGTGTGGATTAATGTTCCTCTCTGCCTGCTAGCACGTAAGCTCCAAGGGCAGAGATCTTTCTTGTTCACTGAAGTATGCCTGTCTCATGGTGAGCCTGGCTGAATGAAAGAGAAGGTAACTTTTTTTAACATTTTATTTTGAAGTAATTTCAAACATACAGAAGGATTGCAAAACAGTGTGGAGGGTTCAAGTATACCCCTTACAGAGATATGTTTACATTTTAGCACATTTCCTTTGAGAAGGTTTAATG